TGAATCAATACTAGGGAAAGGTGATGGTAATTAGTGCATGATTGATTATAAGATTTAATAAATAATCTATGATATATGCCTTTATAAATTCCTTTCATTTATGAGGTTTCTTTCTCATTTTGTATTTTGATATTTCAAGTAATATTGGCACAGTTTTAGTGAAAATTGATTTAGGGTATAAGTAAACCACCTGTCACTATGTACCAGCATGTGCTGCCAACCATGGAGTTCCTGGCTTTAGCTGGTGACTGCAAGTTTGAATGGTTAATGTTCTGCTGAAAATGTTTTCTTTGAAGTAAAAATAATAACACTATATTTTAGAATTGTTTTTGTAATCAGTCTTTTAGCCATGAAGTAAAAATGAAACAACTGCATGCTGTGGAAAAACTTGTGATGTTTAGGATATAAATAAAGACGACAACTTTTTTGAGTTGTCCATTGTAAGCATCACGCCATAGTGGTCAATGTCTCTTCTTCTCGCTGATCCACACATCCTTTACAAGCTCTGCAGTCAACCACAACTGGTCTCCTGCCATACATTTTTTTTTTTTTTATCAATGTAGACCAGTCTCTAAAAAAGACCACATTCTAGGGCATAAAACAACTCTCAATAGTTTAAAAATCTGTGAAAACATATAGTATATTTTGACACAAAGGAATATAGCTGGAAATTAAGAACAAAAGCTGTTAGAAAATATACTAACAGATGCAGACTCAAAAATATACTAAAGAATGAATACTTGGTCATAGTAGAAATCAAAAGAGAAGTATTAAAAAAAAACTTCCTTAAAATGAAAGAAATTGAATACAGTGAACATGAAAACTTGTGAGACAGAATAAAAGCAATATTAAGAGAAAATCCCATAGCAGTAAGTATGTACAAGTGGTTAGAAAAGCATCAAATACATGATCTAACATTACATCTCAGCAACCTAGATAAACAAGAATAATCCAACCTTAAATTAACAGAAAGGAACAAATACTGAAAATAATGGAAAGTAAAACAGAATGTAAATTAAAATGCAGGCAAAGGAGGAATGAGATTAAAGGCTACTTAAAAAAAAAAAAAAGAACCAAAATTAAGAAGTCACCAGTACAGCTAAACAGATAAGGGAGAGAACAAAAATTAATAAAACCAAATATTACAAAGTAGATTATATTATTGATGCCACAGAAATGCAAAGAGTCATTAGGAAACATTACAGAGAGTTGTGTGCCAACAATGTGGAAAAGGTTGAGGAAACAGATAGATAGAATAGTTTCAAACTCCTTCTGTGAAGCTACCATCATCTTAATCCCCTAACAAGACAAGAATGTAACAACAAAATAGACAAGTATAACTCCATAACCCTGACAAATATGGATGCAAAAATCTTCAACTAAATGCTAGCAAACCAAGTCCAACAACACATCCAAAAGATCTCCTACCCATATCAAGTGATACCTCATGCGAGCACCCATGGATGCTTTACAATGTGGCGATCAGTAAGTGTGACATATCATAGGAGCAAAGTGAAGGATAAAATGAATACCTCAACAGATAGACAAAGCATTTGATAAAACACATAATTCTATCATGGTAAAAATCTGCAAAAAATGTGCCATTGTCAAACTAAATAAGGGGAAGAGCTAGAAGAATTTCCACTACGACCTAGAACCAAAATGGGTGCCCATTTTCTTGAGTGTTTTTCAGCATAATTCTAGAAAGTTTTAGCCAAAGTCATGAAGTAATGGTAATAATAATATTATTAATAATAATAAATTAGTTGGATGCAAATGGGAATGGAGGAAGTCAAATTACTCCCATTTTCAAACTATGTGTTCCATCATACAGGAGAGTGAAGAAATCCCATGATGTCAATCCTAAGAATAGTACCTGTAAATTGTAATATTATTACACCCACAAACATCCTATGTCACATGCAATAAGATATTGTGATGTAACCAATGAACCAACAATCAATGAGAGACAGACTGCTTATGATCTACATCAAAGAACTGAAAAGCCTGATATGGTTTTAATTCCCTATGTTATTCCACAATGGGTTGGGAGAGCAGAGAAATCTACTTTCTTAGAGATTATAGGGTGCCCCCTGCTCTGTGCGTATGACATACTGTGAAGAGGCTGCCAGGATCACTCTTGGATCCCACTGCATATCTTTATAGTTTTTGCTAATGTCTAATGTCAATACGAGTCTTCTGTCTATAAGTTACCTGTTACAATTTTGATAGATTATACTTTACATCTTCCTCACAGACTCTAAGAAGGAGATTTGTACCCTATTCCCAGAGACTCCTGGTAACCTCCCAAATGCTTTCACCACAGAAGCAGTGGACTCCTCATCAAGGACTATCAGTATGAGCACAAAGGACTATATCTCAACTGCCAAAGAGATCACAGGGAATTTCAGTGCCCCCGTAGGCCAAGAGCTCTGAGGCCATCCATTCCTTATCGGATCTCCCACATGGGATGGAAGAAGCCCAGAACCCTCCTCACAGGGTCTAATGATATCAGAAAAACAGCCAGGAACCCCAAGTCGTCCTCAGCAACAGAAGACTGGTAAACTTCCTTCTGGACTCAAGAGAGGAGCTTTCTCTGGTCCTTACTTATTTCCAACTTTTGCTCCCCACCCTCTCTTGCAATAACCATCAGGGTCATTCCAGAGCCCCCAAAATTACATCAGATAGATAGAGACCAATAAGAAAAGCTTACAATAGACAACAAAATGTCAGCGTGGACTCTCATATACCTCACAAGGTAGGACACAAAGATCAGTTACTCCTCACTAAGGTATTGATTTTTCTGCGCACCCCTCCTAGAACTTCTCTGCTCCTCAATCATTAACCTATGACTTGTTAGATTTATAAGCTTGTTTGCACTGTCCTAAAACTCACGAAGTTCAGTAAAATCATGCTTAAATACTATAGGCTGCTAAATATAAATATGAAAAAAGAAAAACATGATATAGTTGAATAGTACCCCATAACCATTTTTAGGGTGTATAGCAGTTGATTATGTATAAACTAAAACTGAAATGTCAATGAAGTAGTTACAGGATATGGTTAAGAACTTGCATTTTCTAACACATTGGTCACTCAGTAGCATGTGAATTAGCTTCATGATGTTGTAAATTTTCATGTTTCTTCCTGTTGTTGAGTTTGTGTTATGGCTTTTCATTGGATGGGATGATATTTTGCCAGCTCTACTTTCAGATCAAGGATGGTCTCCCAATGAAACTGTTCAATTTATCAGGACAATAAGATGCTGAACTCTCTGCATGGTCCATGCCCGCAATGGTGGGATTACAACTGGTTATGATCTGTACTACCTTAATAATATGGAGGAAATCAATATGTGGGGAGAGGGTTTGTGAAGGGTTTGGGGAGTCCCAGAGCCTATGGAACTGTGTCATAAAATGAAATAATTAAAAAGAAAAAGAAAAGAAATCTTAAGAGAGTTCAGCAAAGTTACAGACGCAAAATCAATACCCAAAGATCAATAACATTCTTATATAACAACAACCTTCTGGCTAAGAAAGAACTTATAAATAAGTCGCATTTGCAATAGATTTAAAATTTAAGAACGAAACAATGTATCCCACAGAGAAACACAAATGAAAAAAGTAATATAGGACACTGATCTTCTCAAAGACTTCTTGTATAAGACTCAAAACTCAGGCCCAGAAAGCAAAAATTGACCAAGAGGATGATATCAAGATAATCACTTCTGCACAGTTGATAGAATGAATTTGTTAATAATTTTTGCATCTGAAAAAATAGCTAATGTGCAGAATGAGTGGATAATTCAAAAATGACAAAACATTGAAGAAAAGGGCAAAGGATCTCAAGTTACTTTTAAAATTTGAGAAAATAATTGCCAATAGACACATGAAAAAAATCTTCAAAATCATTTGTCTCCAAGGAAAAGCAAATAAAAATCTGAGGTATTACTTTCACCCATGAACTCAAAAGTTTTAAAAATTAACATGTATTGGAATGATTCTGGAGGAAATATTCTCTATTACATTGTTAGAATGTAAATTGCTACGGATATTATATAAAGCAGTATGTAGAGACAGGCTAACGCTAGATCTACCCTATGACCCAGTTACCACACACCTTAGAACATATCAGAGAAAATCAAGTCAGCATATGAAAGACATATCTGCAGTCCCAGTTTACGCCAGCTCAATTCACAACGGCAAACATATGAAATCAATCTAAGTAGCTATAAACTGATGATTTCATAGGGAAGATGTGTTAGACTTCTCAGACACAACCAGTATTGAAATTCTGACATTTGCAAAATATGACAACTATGCTAAGTATGTCAGACTCAGAAAGACACATATCACACATTTTCCCATATTCGTGGAAGTTATAATTTAGAGTATAAGAATTTTGTGAATATCACATCATTTTGCACATAGTTACACATATTGCTTCGCTGAACCATACCATCTTAAAGAGCATATACCCCCAATTTCCACATTAGGATCATTTTCAAGGATCCCTTTGTAATATTAATTGTTCTGCTATCAAGAAAAACAGTATATATACTTTTGCATGTATATATGTATACATACAATGTCTTCATTTGATGTGAAATGCGACATGTCAAAAACTGTCAAAAAGTAAAATTACCCTTGCAATTAAATGCAAATATAAATAAATGATAACTATAAGCAACTACCTGACAAATCTTTCAAATTGAAAGTGTTATACAACTTTCTTGAGCAAAAAAATAAACAGTTGAAATTAGCCTAATCAAAACATTAAATTTCCAATAAAAATGTAACTTCTAAAGGTCTAGAATCTAATATAAAACAATGAAAATCATTAAAATTTAATTTGTACTTTTAAAATCAGATTATTATGGTGTTGTACCTCTTCTTTTTGGTGCTGCAAATGTGCAAAACATACGAAATCATAAATCATAATGGTAAAGGTGGAGTTCAATTACCCTATCTCAAAACCAGAAATCAGGAAAAGGAACTCACCGGCTCACGTCCGTTCCGGGCACATACTGAGAGAATCGAGAGTGAAGCAGAGGAATGAGCCTGAGGTCACACCACCGCTTCTCCCATCTGGAGCCTGGCGAAGTGGGCCACGAGGAACATGACAACGTGTCCTGCAAAGACACACGCCATCAGGTTCTCACTCTTATTCGGTGTTTGAAATTCCTGCGTCATGAACCCTTTTCATTTGGTGGAGTTTCCACTCTAAGTGATCAAAATGCTACCATTCTCACTGAGCCTAAAATTATACCTCGTTGATATCATTGACAAAATTCTCTAACACAAGAGGCAGGAATGATTGAAATGATTGAAATGAAAATATTGAAATGAAATATGGAAATATATATGGGAGGGCCTGTAGCAATGACTCATTGAACAATCCTCTTCTTGCAAGCACTAGGATCCCACATGGACACCAGCTTGTGTTTCAGCTGTTCAACTTCCCACTTGGTTCCTTGCCTAGGAAAGCAAAGTCAAAGCCTTGCGACCCTGCACCCATGTGAGAGACCTGGAAGAAGCTCCTGGCTCCTGGCTTCAGATCAGCTGCTCAGCTCCAATTTGGGGAGTGAACCAGTGGATGAAAGGTCTTTCAACCTTTCCTCTCTGTCTATCTGCATTTCCAATGAAAATAGAGAAAGTTTAAAAGAGAAGGAGGAGGGGAAGGAATAAAAGAGGTGAGGAAGAAACAGATGGAGAGATAGAGGGAGAGGAAAGAGAGGAGGAAGAGAAATATATGGGGGAAATGCTATGCCAGAGAAGAAAGGAAAGAGGGGAGGAAGAAAACTGAATTCATTCCAAAATAGGAATGATGGGCTGGGGGAAAAACTATAGCTACAAATGCAGAGCCAGTAAGTGACAAAAAATAAAATAAGCAATAAAGTTGTGGAAGCCCACACAAAGTCTCAGCCCATCCACCCATGCAAGGCAATCACTGACAATTAGATACTGGGAGAGAAAAGCGATTTTCAGTTTAATTTTCAGACTCCCTAAGTGATTAGGATAATGATGTTTCTTATATTATGAATCAATCTTACAGGGTAAAGTCATGATCAAGCCCTGTAAGGTTAGTTTATGTATGGTTCTCTGTCCTGCACTCTTTTCAGTCTCTTACTGATGGGTCATGGAGAGGAAGCCTGCTTGTTCTTCAGTGAAGTGGGCTCCCATTTGCCTAGCATCGAAGTACTACTCAAAGAAATGTGTGATCGGTGTTCTAATTTTGTTGCACATTTTTATATTTAATGTCAAAGGTGCAACCAATGCCAGTTTGAAATTAAAATATTGCAACTACGATCAGAAATCAATTTTTGTGTGGATATATTTGGATATATTTGAATAAAACCTTACTGTTGCAGTTAATATTAATGAATGTGACTTTTTCTTTTACCTTCACTTAACTTTCTACACAGTAATAGCATGTTGAATAATGTTAATATTTAAGTTGGCCACTGAGAGTGGGCCATATCACAATTAGACTAGGAAAATATTAACAGTATTTTCATTCATTAAATTTTAAGTAGCGGTGCTGTCAGATTTGTTTTCAGTCTACATATTGAGAGTCTGTAAGTCTAAATATTATTAAACACTACTCTCAGAAATTGCTCTGTTACGACTTGTTTAGGAAACAAAGAACATCACTCTCAATTAAAGAAAAATGTTCCTTGGTATTCTTAAATGAAAGTCACAGATCTTGCAGATAACAAGGTCCCAAGGTCATGGAGAAGCTTAGAGCACAAAGAGCAGCGAAATGCCAATATGGAACATAAAAGAACCATGCTGATAACTCTGAGAATAACTCTGTACTAGGAAATTTCTCAGGTGAATACCTGCTCAGGATTCTAAAGGCACAAGGAAGGGTTTCTTGTTCATATTTTTTGATGACCTCATGTCAGATGTCACAGGTAGGCAGCAGCACCAACTGTGGCATTGTTTGGGTGGCAGAATGAAATGGTGAAGACTCAGCTTGTGTTTTAATTAAACTATGTCTGAATCCCAACCTTCAGACTGATTAGTTATTTAATCTAGTGGCAAGTTATTTAAAATCTCTGTGTCACACTGTGCTTCTCTTCAAAGTGGGCATAATAATAGTAACCATTTGTAAGATTGTGGAAAGAAATTAATGAGGAAGTGCTAAGAGTGCAGCCTGGTACTGAGCTTCATGCTATTTTCAGTATCTTCACAAAGCTAATGGAAATTTTGCATTTATGAATCACAGCAGGTTGATGAGAAGCTTTGCTTAGTAGCAAGGAAGGTAATATGTTTTAAAAATATAATGAGTTAAATAATGCATAAAATTATTTATAAACTCAAGGCATCTAGGAACAACACCCCTTCTGATGCTAGAAGTAGCATGAGTACAATTGTACTGCTACATAGAGTTACCTACACTAAATAGTCTTCACGCATTACAATGTTCCCTGCTACAACTTTGAAAACAGCGATTGGACCCTGCTCAGTTTACAGAGGCAGATGCCAAGGGTGTATTTAAGAATTTTGAATTTTTTCTTCCCAAAGTTTGACATGCATGCATGTAAGGAATAAAGTTACAATCAAACTTTATATAAAAACATCAGATTTCTATGGCCAGGCCAGCTATATCCACAGATTGTCCATCTATAAGGTCTCATGCAGCTTCCCTGTTACACAGACGCTGTGGCATATAGCTGAAATCAACCCAAAACCCTGTTGCACATATGCACTCATGAGAAGTCTAAAATTTCCAGGTATTGATGTTATTTCTCATATTATAAATTTGATGCATCTTAATTGTCATTATACAAAACACTGTAATAAGTAACTTCAATTTCCTACACTAAAATATCTCCATCAATAATCAATCCTAATGAACTCAAGGTATCCAACCAGCAAGTGATAGGATCTACCCAGATCTTTGTTTTTCTAATGAGTGAGCCTACTCATTCATTGTAACAAAACATTACACGCTCATTTATGAGAGGTGAAACAGCAGAAAGGGTGAAGATGTTTTACTTGATCACTCCATTTTCATTGTGTAATTGAAAGTCAGTTACATAAAGATGGCTCCATGTATCTTATAAAAGGAAAAAAGAACTCCCCTCACTTCTTAGGTTCCATAAATAAATGTGATATTAAATACTGAAGACAATAACCATCTGTGGGGGAAGCATGATAAGCTCTGTCTGTGCTGTTTATTGACACAGGTTGTCACAAATATGCATGTGGTATTTGAGATTTCTTCATTGTGGTTCAATGTCTTTATGTAACAAACTGCAAAATTGTCGCTTTCTTTGTTTCTTGCCAGCGCTGACTAGAACTTCAGCAATCCAACTAAGTGGAGAAATATTTAATATCCTATAATGATTCTTTATTTTTTATTTTAACCAGAATATATTTACTTTGAACACTTTTATTCACAGAAGTCAGAGTTACATAGAATTACATTTTAAGGAATATGGAAATGCCCTCATTTTATGATCTTAGAGAATCGTGGCTATTTTTCAACCAGTTTAATACAAAAGGTCAAGAATATTATTTCCTAACTTATTCATAATACAGATGAGAAAAGTGGCATTTCTGAGTCATGGCTCTAAAATATATTCCTTTCCTGTAAATTAACAAATGCTGCACAACAATCACAGCAGAAATTCCCTCACCAGAATAAGAGCTAAGCCGGGCACAGTGCTAACCCAAGTGATGTGAAGGCCTTCGGATGGCAAGGATGAACCACAGCTATACAATGGGCAAGATTGTCCCTCAGAATCTGTTCATCTGATCATCTGAAAGAGAACCCCTTTGTGAATCCACTGGGTCTGGACTAAGGCACAGGGTTCTGGGTTTTGATTGGCAAAGCATGTGGGCTAGCTCCTGTGGCCTAAAATTGGCCACCTATTATGATTAAAAGAATCAGATTATAATTTTTATGTAGGCTAGTAGTGTGGTACTAATATCTTTAATATTTTAAGACTTCATTTTCCCTTTCATTTAGATTCTGCCTCCTAAAGATAGACTAGTTCAGAAAAATGGAACAGTGACTATTTACTCAAATGTTGCTTTCAAAAAGAAGGAAGGCATGTGAATAATTTGAGTCTCTCGTTACATCACAGAATCAAATGTGTCTCTCAAGAACACTGAACATCTGTAGTATGCAAACCTTCCATGAAAAACCTGCTTCACACTGCATAGCAGCCTAGATGGGGCTTCTGTTCACTGATTTTGTTTTGGGTCAGAAAGAACAATGTCGACTTTGCTCCTTGTTTTGTAAATCCCTCTGTAGAGATGTTTCCATTTCTGCATTAAGACATATTCACCTCATGAAAAAAAAAAAGTAGGCCACATTCCACCAGCCTGTGTGATCAGATTGGGATCAGTAACACAGTTCGCTATGGGCAGCAGAGCCCACGATTTTATGGTATCTGAATTCAGCGAAGCAGATGTTGAAAGCATTACAACACAGACAACCACGGTTGCTTTTCTGCTTATATTAAAGTTAGTTTTAAGCATTTGTCTCCAGATTTGCAAATTAAATCTTTTGGGCCAGCAAGTATAATTAATTGTTCCACAAAGCCACTAGAATACTATTTGAATAGAATTAATTTTCTGCAAAAGTGCATAAAATTGGTAAGTATTGATGCTACTTCTTGTATTATGAATTTGTATGTGTCTTGATTATTATTCTCCAAAACACCATAATAAGTAGCTCAAATTTCCTACACTAAAATATCTTAAGCACTGCTTAATGAACATTAAATCCTAACGCTAAATGTGGGAATAAAATGTACCTCTTAAAAATAGAAAAATATAGCTCCAGTAAGAAACAAAGACAATTTTCTTTAACATTTTATGCTCTGGATTTATTCCAGTGTGCTAGAATTGCAGAGTAGGTTTCCTGTTGTAATTATATGTTCCAAAGGACCCCATCTCTCCAGTACTGCCTTGTACTTGTCAGTGGAATGAATTAGAAACTAATCAGCAAAATGTGTACCCTTCTATCATGTACTCAAACTTCCTTACTTCTCGTTACTGTGGAGGGCTTCAAGGGTATTATACAAAAATTAGAGCAATAACATTACTAAATACTTTCTTTCACACAGAGGTAAAGTAGCTCATGTCCTCTTGGAGGTTCAATTGAGATCTTTTGTGAATGAAGGTAAGAGGGAAAAACTCCGGTAGAAGCTGATGGAGCACTAATGGAAACAAAGAATGAGATGGTGAAAACTGGCTCAAACTGTGGCTCTGACTCATTGATCGAGAGTGGTGGTGACTTTTGCCCCCCTCCCACTCATCACTAAGGCATGCCACATGCAGTGTGAGACACAGTAAGCTGAGCAACTCAGGTAGAGCTAGTTGCTTAAAAGAAGGGTCAGCTAAGAATGGAGCAGGCCATTTATAAAGCACATAGGAGCAGAAAAAGAAGATGGAAGACCAAAGTACTGAGGATACCAATACTTGTAGGGCAGAATGTAAATAAAACATACAAATTAGTTATATAAATTCTCATTTTCCTAAAATCATATCTGTGAACTATGTATAATCTGCTATTTTTGTATTGATATCATATTAACATGAAAGTTGCTGAAAATTAGTTAGCAGTAATTATCATGCATTTGCTTTAATGCTAAGGAGAGAGAAAACAGGTCAAACTCAGTTGGCAGCTGTAAGATGTCTGTCTGTGAAAGTGTGAATAGGATTAATGGGTACACAGAATACACATACTTATTTTCCCAGTAGGGATCCAATGTTGTAAGTCACTTAGACTTGGCTGTCTTAGCAAGACTGTATTCCAAGCATCTATTATGTGACAGTTGTATCTGTGGCAGGAGAAATTAAAGAATGGACCAGATGAAATATATCCAGATAAGGTTTGTTTTAGAAAGACATGCTTATATTTTGGTCTTGCCAGATAATCAAGGCACCTGAGGCATTCAGGTGAAGATCAATAGTGTGAATTGTGTGCAGTAAAGGCCACTCAGACACAGAAATGCTCAACAGGAGGGCTTGGAGGCTCAGTGCCAGAATCAGGGGAAGCACCGTGGCGGAAGGATGCAGCCTGAGACAGAAGAGGCAGCTGTGAGTCCTGTGTTTTCCAATAAGGGCAATAGAAAAAAGAAATCTTGTTTCAGGGAAGCTCTTCTGTGTTTCATATTTCTGAGCCTAGGGGAAAACTGTAGATCTTTAGTCACCAGAAAGAATGACTTAATATTTAGAATGTGCGAGTGTTTGAAGAGATGGAGTAAAAGGAATCTCAGAAACATTTGTTAAAAGTTATAAAATTTAAATACAAAAAAGTTATAAAGCATCTCAAATGTATCACAAAATAAAAGTGCAGTTCAGAAGTTTAATTGTACTGTACATCTATGAAATAAATATCAGCTCTATTTTGTATAAAATTTGCTAAAAAGTGTCATTGTACTTTAATATATAATATGTTTATATGTAGCTATTATAATGCAGTAATTTCCTATGAAGCCAAAAATTGCTTAAAATATAACAAGTTATTTTTATCTAGATAATACAATGAATGTGAAGTAAATAATGTGCAGTACGAATTTGCACATAATACATAATATTCTGAACTTCTTATATGCTGTTCCTTATGACCTCTCACTTTTGACTCTTTATAGATTAATTAGGACTTAATGGACACAGACTAGGCAGGAGAAAATAAAACGGCATAAAAAACTGAGCTACTTATTTATTTAACTATTACAATACTTGCAGAATGAAGAATCAAGTACCTCATAACTACCATACTCATCAAAATAAATGATCATGCTTGCAAAATATAAGCAGGTGTATATGTGTGTGCATGTCCATGTGATAAGCGGTATAGTTCTGGGTTTCCTTTGCATTATCACTTTACTGATTTGAACAAACTCCAAGTCTCTTACTGTATTATTGGGGTGATAGTTGAGGTGCAAGCCACTGTCACAAAGAGGAGAGGAGGTGCCACTGCTCTGGTCACTTGGAGCACCTGGAAGAGACAAGGACACAGAACGGCAGCTGTTAGAATGCCTTTCTAGCCCACACCTTTCACATAGAAATGTTGAGTACACACTATTGCGTACACTCAATATTGGCAAGTAAACCAGGTACTAAAATAATATCGTATTTACTCATACCTAATGTAGAGTTTGCAAATATGTTAGCTGGCAGTGGATATCGGGGCAGTAATCAGTACTCACAAATGTGTGCCTTTGATTTCATAAATATTAAGGTTTTAATAAGGGAACCAGGATAGTGTTATTTTACCTGATATTTAAAAGTCACTACTCTCGCACACTATACTTTATGCAAAATTTTGTTTAGCTGCATCACTTTTATTTTTACTTATAGCAAATCGTCACTTTTTCATGGTGCAAAAACATCTTTATGCATTCTGTCTTTGTAAATGTTGAAGGCATATATTTAGCTGCCCTCACCAAAACTATCTAATTTTGTGAATTGCAGTGACAAACTTTCATATTAGGCCCTCATAAGAATTGCATTAATCCTTATTTTTAAATTATTTCAAGGAATCTTTACACAATGGAGTGTTAAACCTGTGATAATGAACTGAAATGAAAATACGCCATTATAAAAATTTTAAAAAGAGTAAGAAATATGGAAGGAGGAAAGTGGATGGAGAAAAATGGCAAGATGAAGGGAGGGTGGTAAGTATTAAACTTTTGTTATTTTCCAACTTTGTACAACATAGTAACTATTAAAAACAGGATTAGAATATGTATTATGCAAGCTCTGATTATTATCAAGAGAAATTATTTAGGGGTTTCTAATAATGTTCAGTATAAACTATAATAGAAATTAACTCCTAATTATTTCAAAAATTATACTTAAATTCAATAATAGATCATATATACCTAATACTTCTAATACAATGCTTCCTTATTTTACTTTATTTTTTTAATTTTCTTTATTGCAAAGTCAGATAAACAGAGAACAGAAGAGACAGAGAGGAAGATCTTACATCTGATGATTCACTCCCCAAGGGGCTTCAACAGAAGGAGCTGAACCAATCTGAAACCAGGAGCCCAGAGCTTCTTCCAGGTCTCCTACGTGGGGGAAGTATCCTGAGGCTTTGGGCCATCCTCAATTGCATTCCTGGACTGCTTTTTCCACAAGCAGGGAGTTGTATGGGAAGCAGGGCTGCCAGGATTAGAACTGGCACCCATACGGGATCCCAGCATATACAAGGCAAGGACTTTAGCCACTAGGCTACATCACTGGACACCTCACACAATGTTTCTAAATATGTCTATTCTCTGATTTTTATGACTCTAAAATTTTGAGCTTTTCTTATAACTAGAATTTTGGAATAGATTTTCTTATAATAACCTGGACTTCGTTTCTCTATTCCTTCAACCTGAGGATATCTCACTTTGTTTTAGCCATTTTTTCTTGTGATGCCTGTCTGTATTTCCATTTTATGAAATTGTATATTCATGCCCATACATACTGCCTTACATATCCATTTGATCTGTATATATGAAGACAAATACATAAAATCTCAAGGCTGGGCCCAGCGCGGTGGCGCAGTGGTTAAGGTCCTCACCTTGCACGCCCGGGATCCCATATGGGCGCCGGTTCTATCCCAGCAGCCCTGCTTCCCTTCCAGCTCCCTGCCTGTGGCCCGGGAAAGCAGTCAAAGACGGCCCAAAGCTTTGGGACCCTGCACCTGCGTGGGAGACCCGGAAGAGGCTCCTGGCTTTGGATTGGCATAGCATGGACCATTGCGTTCACTTGGGGAGTGAATCATCTCGGACGGAAGATCTTCCTCTCTGTCTCTCCTCTCTGTATATCCACCTTTCCAATAAAAACATAATACAAATAAATCTTTAAAAAAAAATCCTAAGGCTGCATTCTAAGCACTCAGATTTCAACTAATACAAGCAAATACAAAATGATGGAGGCTCGCAGCCTAAGAAGCTAGTTATGGGAGTGGAAATGAAGATGGAGCACAATGGGGGCAGAAAATAACAAGTGTAAATGTAAAAGAATGAAATGGAAAGCATATATATAAAAAATAATTAAGGGAGTAATGAGTCATTCAAAGATGAATTAAAATGTAAATCCTAATCAAGAATAATCTATGAGAACAAAGAAAAAAATACAAGTTTCCAATATCCAGAATAAAAGGTCAAAACTGAAAGCTAAAATATATTAAAAGATATAACAGAATATTAATGAATTCGTTTCTGTAAATAAATTGGTAACTTTGTTGAATGAGATAAGTTAAATGTAATGAAATTTTATGAGATTTGATAAGAGTATCAAAAAGCCTACATTTAATAGATGAAAATTATCCAGAATAAAAATATGATACTAGCCTCATATTGCATTTTTTGTCAGTTTATTTCATCATTTAAGAAAAACAATATTGGACTCCTTCTCTCTGTAAATCCATTCTCCAATAAAATAAATATTTAAAAAAATTTTTTTAAATGAAAAATGAAAAACAATACTGCTGTTAATAGATTCTTTGTGAAAATAGAAAGTTAGCATTCCTCAAATTCTGTGAAGAAATGATAAAGTTAATTTCAAAGCTGCACTAAAACTTATGAGTTAAGAAAAACTTCAAATATGTTCTGCAGAATCATAGATAAGGGACAAGAATTCTTAAAAATTTACTGGCAAATTGCATCCAACAAAATATAAAAAGTCAATCACTGCATGATGAAATAGACTTTGCCCTGAAAGTACAGGCTTAGGTTGATATTCAAAATAAATATTTTTAAATTCACCATATTAACAAATAAAAATATATAACATGTCAATGGAAGGACAACACACATATTATAGAAAATTCAGCATTAGCTTATTTTAAGAAACTATTTTCTATGTTGTAAGAATAGAAGACACATCCTTAACAGGAAACCAAAAGTCTGAGAACATGCACAGCTAAGTCACAATGAATGATAAAAGACTGGTCAAGTCCAGCATGCATTAGGAACAAAGAAAAATGTATTCTCTTAAACTTTGTCACTGTTGGGCCTGGCGCGGTGGCGCAGTGGTTAAGGTCCTCACCTTGCACGCCCGGGATCCCATATGGGCGCTGGTTCTATCCCGGCAGCCCCACTTCCCTTCCAGCTCCCTGCCTGTGGCCTGGGAAAGCAGTCGAGGATGGCCCAAGGCTTTGGGACACTGCACCCACATGGGAGACCCGGAAGAGGCTCCTGGCTTTGGATTGGCCTAGCATAGGCCGTTGCACTCACTTGGGGAGTGAACCATTGAACAGAAGATCTTCCTCTCTGTCTCTCCTCTCTGTATATCCGCCTTTCTAATAAATAAATAATAAAAATAAATCTTTTTTTTTTTCATTGGAAAGGCGGATATACAGAGAGGAGAGACAGAGAGGAAGATCTTCCGTCCGATGATTCACTCCCCAAGTGAGCGCAAAGGGCCGATACTATGCCAGTCCAAAGCCAGGAGCCTCTTCCGGGTCTCCCACGCAGGTGCAGGGTCCCAAAGTTTTGGGCCGTCCTCGACTGCTTTCCCAGGCCACAGGCAGGGAGCTGGAAGGGAAGCGGGGCTGCCGGGATTAGAACCGGCGCCCATATGGGATCCCGGGCGTGCAAGGTGAGGACCTTAACCACTTGCGCCACCGCTCTGGGCCCCCAAAAATAAATCTTTAAAAAAAAAAAAAAAACTTTGTCACTGTTTCACTGTATGTTCTAGTTATAACCACTGGCACAGTGTCAGAATTAAAGAATACTAGACTGGGACAGTACTGAAGTTTCTAATTTATGGATGATTTATTACTGAAAAAAATACAATGATATACAAAATGTATGATCAACATTATTAAGGTATGTGACAGAATATTTTAATAAAATATTACTTATCAGCAAAAACAATTTTACAATAACATTAACAAGTGAAATTAAAATATTAAAAACACACAGAAATAAATTTGTTATGCAAGAATTTTCCACTGAAACCACTAAAATATTATGACATTAAATTAAAACATAAATAAGCGGATAGTTATATTTAATGTCTAAAAATATATAGCTGTTGATGTGTTGTCTCCATATTTTCTATAATTCAGTTCAGTCCCATGCAAAATCCCAGTCAAGTTTCTGTGAAGTGGAGATATTTTGAATGCATTTCAAAACTGTCTGCAGTCTAAAAAGTATATCTATAATGTTTGCAATGCAGGACCCCCCAAAACCCAAACAATACTGACAAACTACAATCTGGAATAAATTGTTCCTGATGATTTAGCGACAGTGCAATTTTGTAGTTAAACACTTACTTTTGTTTTAAAAAATTCACAAATCAACAAAATAAGAAACGGTTCAGCAATTGATCCAAGAATACATGAAAGAATTACAACAGTGATTAATAAATACCTGAAAAAAAAACTTGTTCACTAGCAACAAAGCAAACGTTCAATTAAAAATGAGCAAGGGGTGAGCACTGTGTCACTGTGTTAGAGCTGATGGCTGCAGTGCTGGCATCCTACAGGAGTACTAGTTTGTGCCCCCTCCTCCACTTCAGATTCAGCTCCCTGTAAATGACCTGGGACAAGGAATGAAATATATGCCAAGGGTTTGGTCCTTGCCTCACACCAGGGATACCTCCTTTCTGGATCCTAGCTTCAACCTTGCTTGCCTCTGGTCATTATGGTCAGTTTGGGCATGAGTTAGGCAGAATATAGCTCTGTCTCTCCCTCTCAATCTGTAACTCTGATTTTCAAAACTAAATAAATCTTTAAAAATAAAAATGGATAAAATAATTCATCTGACATTTCTCTAAAGGAAACACAAATTATCAAGCATTTACAACGTACTCTCAGTATCAATAATCAGGGGAATGTAAATCAAAACCCTCAACCAGATTTAACCCTTGTGCAATTACACTGGCTGTTGTAAAAGTGTGCCAGCACTAAGCAATGTTAATAATAAAGCGGAGGAAAGAGAAAAACAGATTCTTACATATCATTGCTGGGAATGTAAAGTGGGAAAGCTATTATGTACAATGGTGTAGAAGTTCTTCAAAACCTAAAACAAAAGAATAAATCTATTCTATATTAATGTCACACCTAATTACATATCCAAAGGAATTAAATAATTATTCTGAAGATACGCCTTCACTCTCATTTTCAGTATGAATAAATTATTTTTAAAAATCTGGTAAAATCTGGAATATACATGCATGGTATAGACCTCAACTATTAAGAAGAATGAAACCCTGAGCTTTATGGCAATATGTATAGCTCAGAGGTAATCATGTTAAGAGTACTAAGTCATCTACCTAAAGTTGAGTAACGCACATTCTCATTTGTGTGAATGCTAGACAGTTGATGTCTTAGAAGTATGGAATGATGTTTAATACAGACTGGAAAGGGGAGGAGGGGAATGCATAGAAAAGGGTTGGTTAGTGCGTATACAATATAATTAAATTGCATGACTAAGTTTCAGTATATTGTCATCACAGTAAGTTATCTACAGCTAATACCTGTTGATTTTGCATTTTCAGAATATTTGGAAAGGTTTCAATATAATCAAGAGTATAAAGAAGTAACAGTGCAGCTGATGAAATACTCATTACCCTAATTCCATCATATAATGGCATATAATCATATTAAAGCATGGATTTTCACATTGGAGTCCATGACTGTTCTCAATTAGTACGTATTAGTCAAAAATAATATTTAGAAATAGGCATTTTAGTGTAGTGGTGACGATGCCTGTTTAGGAAGCCCACATCCACATTCGTGTAACTGAGTCTGTTACCTGAATCTTTGACCTCATAGCTATGGCTCAGGTGATTCAAGTCCTGCCACCAACATGGAAACCCTAGGTGGAGTTCCTGGATTTCAGTGTTAATCTCCAGCCTAATCTCTGCCCTTGAGGGTATTTGGGACGTGGAGCAGTGGACAGGAACTCAGCATGTGTCTGTATGCCCGTCTAATAAATACTGAAATTGAAAATGTAGTAACATTTTTAAGATTAAAAAACAAAGAATAAGACATCTGGTCATATGACACAATACAGATGAATCTGGAGAGTAAGTTTTAAGAATAATAAATCAACCCCAGAGAGACAGCTCTGCATCTGAGGTAGGCAAACTCTCGCAATATCAAGTAAATGGGCTGCCCAGGTATGAGTGATAGAAACATGGTGTTGTTGTTTAAGAGGTGAGAGCTTCTGTTCCACAGATCTGTCCCACGATAAGGTGCAAATGGTTCACATCCCTGCCTTACATGTTAACAAACGATTTGCATGGGGCAGCTTACAGTATGTAATACTCACCCCTCAAAAGGTTCCCACTTTGAAATGTGTTTAGCAAATTATTAGCAACTGAATTATATGTTACTGGTAATTATACTATTAGATGGTAGTAAAATAAAATTGTGAATCTGCCCACAGACTTGTTTATATCTTAACAACAGCAAGATACTGGAAAGAGCTGTGGTATATATAAAAGGAGCAAGCAAGAATACATTTTACTAATTTCATACAATGGCATGATAAGTAAACTTAGAAATGAAAAATAAACAAGTATACAAAGAACTGCATCTGAGAAAAAACATTCCAAATGAAAGAATCCACATATAAAAATGTTAAGTAACACTCTGATTCTGTTCCTCAGGGTTTTGCAAGAGGCGATAGGTGTTGCAGCACTGTTGTTTACCAAAGAGAAGCATCGAAATTCCTCCATAACGGAGAGATGTGTACATGAACCAAAGGTGATCCTTATCAGAACTATACGATGTGTGCACTAAAAACCATAAACTATGCGTCGGGGAAGCATACATTCATTTTTTGTTTAGCAATGATATTTGATAATATGCCACTCACTTCAGAAAAATGGAAACTGATTCTGTACTTTTCAGTTAGTCTTATGTGAATTGTTGCATTTCCACAAAGGCCAATGCTCCTACTATTATCAGGATGACCTTTGAGAACATTTTTATTTAGCAAGCTCCTTAATCAGATCAGTGCGTCTCATATTTTCTGTGTACAGAAGACATATTCCCCAAACACCATAAATGCAATTTAAGATAGTTGTAATGAGATCATAATGTTTGATATGATGTCCATTTTTAAAACCAATTATCTCTCCAACTAGAGAGTGGTAAAGAACATTAACAAGATGAAAACATTTTAAAAGAAAAACAAAATCTCTTCTCTTTGCTTAGGATTAATGGTATACTAATGCTTGTGTTGAAGCAGGAGTCCCAAACGAAAAAAGTGGTTTTTTTTATGGTCAGAAAATAATGGCTTGGACAGTAACATAATGGTATAAATGTACACGTTGTTCATAAATGCTTACATGCACAGTCTTCATTCAACGGGAGTTTGAGGAAAGCAGGTGCTCTTTTTAAAAATGATACTGTTAGGGTCACTTCTTCTCCCGCATTCCGTAGAACCTGAACCTATAGGTGAAATATTACAAACAAAACATTACCACTGTGTTCCCAAATGCTCTTTTTCGAGCTGCAATGCCTTGAAATAACAAATTGTCCTTTTTATTCTCTGATTTTCCTCATAGTAAAAAATACAACCTTGCTGCTAACAGCCCTAAATGCTCATCGTTGCCCTGCCTCTCTGTGCTCTCCTTCACACACAACATGCACATTCCAGTCACACTGACTTGGATCATCGTGATTTTATCATATACACAAGAAACACGAGAAAGCATCACTAAATCTGTAGAAACGTGTTCAGACTATTGCATTCACTAACTTGAAAATACTATTGAACATCCACTATATATCCTAAAATGAGATGAGCTTTGCAATACAAATGATGATTCCAGATGTGTTGAACTGAGTCTATTCAGATCAAATAAAACTGCCTCATGGGAAAACAGGCAGCACCATGTTAGTTCATCAACAAAAATTATCTTTTCTTGTTTCATATAAATTCACAACAACACTGAAATCTTTCTATCAGTAACTCTCAATCCTCATGTTATTTTATTAATGTTTTGATTCTGCCAGTAAAGTCAGTGCCAATCTATCCAAAACCATTTTGAGAAGAAGGCAAGCAATGTAGAATTCAAGGACAAAAATATTATTAGTGTAAGAACAAAAATTTAGCTGTGTATTGTATCTGTAAATAATACAAATATATTTATATCTCTAAACTCTTGTACAAACTAAGGGGCGTGCTAAGAATAGTTAGGGAAGAAGTTGTTACCATGAAAACATATGTTAACGCATACTTACTTCTGCCTAGTGTAACAAGAACTTGTGCTATAATTCATTAACCATCCACAAGAGGTGGATTGTTTATAACCACCTGAGACAGTCCGTGTCCACTATAACTGTTATTGGCACAGCCCATAAACAACAAAGGCCTAATCCTCACGGTGCCTACATTAGGGCCACAGGATACAAGAATTAACCTACAATGAAAAGTTATTCTCCTACAAGTCTTGGAAACAGTCCAGTGGAAGCATGATGGACTTGGGAAAACGCACGATGGACACACATTATAAACCTAGAGGGGAGAATGGAGGGAAGGGGAGGGAATGTGAGGAAGAGGGAGGGGAGAGCCCACCACCAACTAAATTGTATCAAAAAAATTAAAAAAAAAAAAGAAAAAGAAGTTAAGACACCTATGTCCTGTAAAACAGAACCTGGGTACAAGTCCCAGTTCTGTTCCTAATTTCATCTTCTGCCAGTACTCACCATGGGAGCTGGATACACAAACTAGTAAACATTAATTTTAAATTTCAGTAATTTAACAATTTACTTTTAAAATATTGGTTATAAATTGTACAGACACATATAACTATTCTTTATAGGAACATAAACCAGGGCATTATATTAACAATGCACAAAGGCTAAACTGAAGTTTATTAGTTACACAGAAATGACATCACAGAAATAATATGGCAAGGAAAATATAGAGGATTCTATACAGAATGCACGGATGTAAAGCCTATTTCAATCTAACCTGTAAACCTGTAAGAGACATCTAAAATGAAGTCCATATATGAATTTTAATTTTGCAAGTTGTTTTTAAGATTTATTTGTTTTTATTGGAAAGGCAGATATACAGAGAGGAGAAAAGACAGAGAGGAAGATCTTCCGTCCCATGAATCACTCCCCAAGTGGCCACAATGGATGGAGCTGAGCCAATCCAAAGCCAGGAGCCAGGAGCTTCTTCCGGGTCTCCAATGTGGGTTCAAGGTCCCAAGGCTTTGGGCTGTCCTCATCTGCTTTCCCAGGCCACAAGCAGGGAGCTGGATGGGAAGCAGGGCCACCAGGATTAGAACCGGTGCCCATGTGGGATCCCAGCATATACAAGGCGAAGACCTTAACTACTACGTTATCGCGCCCGGCCCTAATTTTGCAAGTTTTACTAATTAAGTTGAGCCAAGTTATTCTTTTAAAATGGACATGAAGGCAACTGTTACTTCTTATTTGTTCATTTTGGTCTCAGTTTGTATAAACAACTCCTACACAGGGCCATTGGCAATTTAATTCTGCAATTATGCTGTAGGATGATCTCTAAAGAAAAGTTCTCTATTTCACAGATTTGTTAAAATTAATAAATAGGGGAACACAGTGTCGCATTTATCTTTTTGCTCTTGCATTGCAAAATGCAGAAACATAATTCTACACTGCTTTTAAAATAGATTAACTTGACAGTTTAGACACCAGTCAACAGGCATGTGTCAAATACCGGAGTACCGTCATTCAATTTCCAGTTAAGGCTCCTTCTCCCATTGCCAGCCAAAGCATCCCCCGGGAACAGCAGTGATGATGGCTCCCGATCTGGTAACTGACACTTCTCCAAGCAATGTGGATTGCATTCCTAGCCCTCACTAAGGCACCAGCCAGGCCCCAATCAATGTGATTTATCTTTTTCTGTCTGACTCTCCTGTCACTTCTCCTCAAACAAATGAATTATTTTTTTAAGCTGGCTATATGAGGTACCTGAAAAAGCCAATAGATAAGTGAAATTGAAAGATAATTTCTAGTGCAAGAAAACGGCATCAATGCAATGTTGTCATAATAGGCATTTTTAAATCCCCTTATATTTTAAAGCAGCATCATAAAACTTAACCTACACATGAAAAATAAGTGGACTGTTACCCAGATTCCATTTGCTCTATCTTGAACATCCCTATCTTTGTTAATTAACTGAAACATCCATCATGGGCCTTCAAACTCTATGATTCAGAGATGGCAATAGCACAGATGCAGCACTAAAAATATCAAGATTTCATAATGAGTTATACTCTGTGGTTGTATGTAACAAGATTTTCTCTACTGGAAATTAGGCCTAGTAACCTGAGTAACAAATCTGCTTGAGTTCTTAATTTGATTTTAAGAAAAGTCTTACATTAAATCGCATTTCGGATCAATTGCATTCATTTGCATGAATAACATCACCTCATGCTAATTATCCTGACATAATCACTATGTATTCTGAAGTTACAATATAACTTCAGATTTATAAAATAAAACTGTGAGGTAAATAAAGCAAAATTTGTGCCATTTTGTTTTCAAGATCAGAACTGGAACACTTTGAAATGCTCTGAGATTTACTCAACCGTAACATCTAGTATATGACAGACTGACAAATAAAACTACATGTATAAATGACTTCATTCTTTCTTCTATGCTATTTTATTATTAAGGTCAATGGCAAATCTGAAATAATTTTGTATAGATCATATTTTATTATTATAATAACTCAGAAAGTCATTATTGCCTGTCAGCTTCCAAATATCTCCTTATCAATACAGTCCAACTATATGGATTTTTTTGTTTCTTCGTTTGCTTATGTGAGAGAGAAAAAGAGTTTTATTTAGTTGTAGAAAACAAGAAAGTAGTGAAGATCATTATCTTTATATTGGCAAGTTTGCATTTGTATATATTAGTTGCTTATGCTTATGACTTATTTTTGGGGGGTCAATACATAAAGCAATTGAATCAGTTCAACAAATATATATACCAAGGGTCTATTTAAACCAAAAATACCATATGCAAAAACAGAAGGTGCAACTTCGACACTAATTTGATAAAACCCTTACTCTACCAAACTGATTAGGGCTAAATTACTTACTATTAATTTAAAGAAAATAAAAGGAAAGAGAGGGGTTTTGGTTTTCCTTTGTTTTTGCCTAGGAAATAATTCAATATTTTTTCTTGTAAAAGCAATTCCAAGACACCAAGAGTCCACAATATTTCAATAACACACTGGCTGAGAGGGCTTTTCTGGAGATGTGGCTTCTAAAATAATAGAAAGATAAGTTGTTATCCTGCTGTATTAAGGACATGTGATGGTTCATTGATGGGAAAATTCTGTCTGGTAAACTAATATCAAAACCCACTGAAATTGTCATGTTATTGTCACTCTCCAACAGACATGCTATTATATAAAGCCAGTTAGCATCTAGTTTAGGCTCCAGTTTCCTGTTGAGTAGGGAAGGGAAGGTCACACCTGAGCCCCCTCGCTTTTCTCTTCCTCTCCTTCCTTCTTCTCTGGAGGCTTCTCATAAATTTTTCCTGAAGGAGTTACTGTCATTTCATCTCAGGTGCACATTTCGGGAGCATAGCCTGTATCTCCTTCCTGGCTGGGTATCTTCCTAAAGTCAACATATGAGAGGATTGGGACCAGAATCTGAGCTGTGTAACATACTTGTTATTCAAGGATCATGAGCATGAAAACTCTAACAAGTTACAGCCCTCTCAGGGACAAGTGAGATCCACTGAGTCCAGAAGACACAGCTCTGTGGCCAAGATCTGTAAGCAATGCCTGTAGACTGCATATCAAAGACTGTAATGGGGTTATTAATCACAGCACAATGTCCAGCTGGTGAAGAATCCAGGGTGTGAGAGACTCAAAGCCACAAAAGAAAATCCTCTAGTCCTTCCAACAATCTGATGAGAATCTTTTCATCCAGCCAGCCAGTTGCTAAGGAACTCAGTAAAACTTCATATCCAAATGGAATTCTGGGCCCACAGTTTGGAGAATTGGTAGCACTGTTGCAATGAGAATCTTCACCACAACATTTGAAAAACTAACGTCTTGGCCAGTTTTATTGGTCAGATGGTTCAGATGTCCCAAGAAAAATGCATTCTTGGGCTTTTCACAGCTCTGATTCCCTGGACAGCAACAGCTTCCGGTGTTCACAGGTTCTGCAGTGTCACGACCAGGCCAGTCCCATCCTATCCTCAGCTATTGCTACCTTCTGTAAAATCTGACCTGTCCGACTTCTTCAATTTGCACTTCAAATGTTCCTGGAGCCACAATCAGATAGTTAGCCACATTGCTTACTTGTAACAGCAGAGCGAGATTTGGTAGATGAATGGGGACTAGGTCCTCATTCTTCTTGGGTGAAGTTTCCCTGAAGAAAATTCATCCAGATGAACTTTGCATGAGATACATGACCCAAAAGGCCTGGGCTCTCCAT